GAACCCCTATCTCTACTAAAAATACAAAATTAGTTGGGCGTGATGGGCATGGCTGTAACCCCAGCTACTTCAGAGACTGAGGCAGGAGAATCGCTTGAACCCAGGAGGAGATTGCAGTGAGCCGAGATCGCGCCATTGCACTCCAGCCTGGGTAACAAGAGGGAAACTCCGAAGGACTCCGTCTCAAAAAAAAAAAAAAAAAAAAAAAAAAAAAAAAAAAAAGCCCAGGGCTCACAGGTGGGTGGGGGAATCTCCCAGGGACCCAGGCACCTACTTCTCCCGAGAGCAAGTTGAAGAGCTGGGTGTCGAAGGTGACCAGGCCCTGGGAGTGGGGGTTGTAGAAGCCGCAGGGCGAGGAGGTGTTGAGGCCGGGAGGGCCTGGGGGAGCGCCTTCCAACCAGGTGGGCAGCAGCGTCATGCAGGCCGTAAGCACCGAGGCCAGCACGTTGAGGAGCAGCAGGAAGCGCAGCAGGGAGAAGTAGGACTCGGTGCCGGCGCCAAACTGACCTGCAGGGGGCAGCAGAGAGAGAGGCTCGGGTTCCTTCCTGGGAGCAGGACCAGCCCCTCCCACCCCGGGACTGGGGGCCAGCTGCGCCTTTTTTTCTTTCTTTTTTTTTTTGAGACGCAGTCTCTCCGTCGCCCAGGCTGGAGTGCAGTGGCGGGATCTCAGCTCACTGCAAACTCTGCCTCCTGGTTCAAGCGATTCTCCCGCCTCAGCTTCCTGAGTAGCTGGGATTACAGGCGCAGGCCACCACACCCGGCTCATCTTTATATTTTTAGTAGAGTCTGGGTTTTATCGACCTCAGGTGATCCACCTGCCTGGACCTCCCAAGGTGCTGGGATTACAGGCGTGAGTCACCGTGCTCGGCCCAGCGGCGCCTTTCTCAGACCCGAGTTCAGGCCCCCAACCCCTCCTCCCTCAGACCCAGAATCCAGACCCCAGCCCCTCCGCCCTCGGACCCCAAAATCCAGGCCGAAGCCCCTCCTCCCTCAGACCCAGGAGTCCAGGACCCCAGTCCCTTCACCCTCAGACCCAAAAGTCCATAGCCCAGGCCCCTCTTCCCTCGCATTCTGGAGTCCAGGCCCTGCCCCAGGACACCACCCCACCACCACCACCACCACCACCGCCGCACCCCCGATCCTCTTCAGTGTCCATGCCCAGGGCTGCAGGCGCTGCAAGCCTTCCTTTGTTTTCTCCTTGGACCTCCGAAGCAGCCGCGCCCATTGGTCCATCCTAGAACCAGCGCCACGGACCAACTGGTCCCTGGCGTGGCTTTGCCTGGGAGGGAAACAGGCAGAAAATGAGGGGTTTCGCAGCCCCAGACTGGGAACCACCCGAATGTAGAAACAACTCAATAGATCAGAGAAGTAAAGTGTGGCCTATACATAGGATAGAATACTCTGTAGCAATAAAAAAGAAACAAACCAACCAGCTGGGCACGGTGATTTATGCCTGTAATCCCAGCAGTTTGGGAGGCCACGGCGGGTGGATCACCTGAAGTCAGGAGTTCGAGACCAGCCTGAACAACGTGGTGAAATCTCATCTCTACTAACAATACCAAAAAAAAAAAAAAAAAAAAAAAAAGGCCGGGCGCGGTGGCTCAAGCCTGTAATCCCAGCACTTTGGGAGGCCGAGGGTGGTGGATCACGAGGTCAAGAGATCGAGACCATCCTGGTCAACATGGTGAAACCCCGTCTCTACTAAAAATACAAAAAATTAGCTGGGCATGGTGGTGCATGTCTGTAATCCCAGCTAGTCAGGAGGCTGAGGCAGGAGAATTGCTTGAACCCAGGAGGCGGAGGTTGCGGTGAGCCGAGATCGCGCCATTGCATTCCAGCCTGGGTAACAAGAGCGAACCTCCATCTCAAAAAAAAAAAGGTTAGGGAGAAAGGTTTACCTTGTCCTTATGAGGAGAAAGGGGGCGTCAGAGGAGGGGCACACAGGGTGCTGTCATGCTGTGTTCCCTGCCCTAGCTGAAGTTTATCTGGGCTCTCACTTTATGAATACAGTTGTCCCTCAGTACCCATGGGGGTTGGTTCAAGAACTCCCCAAGAATACTGAAATCTGTAGATGCCCAAATTCCTTATGTAAAACGGTATAGTATTGGCATAAGCAATACACACATCCTCCTACGTTATTATCATTATTTGAGATGGCGTTTCGCCCTTGGCATCCAGGCTAAAGTGAAATAGCTTGATCTCGGCTCACTGCAACCTCCGCCTCCCAGGTTCAAGCAATTCTCTGCCTCAGCCTCCCAAGTAGCTGGGATTACAGGTGACCACCATCCCACCAGCTAATTTTTGTATTGTTAGTAGAAATGAGGTTTCACCATGTTGGCCAGGCTGGTTTTGAACTCCTGACCTTGTGATCTACCTGCCTTGGCCTCCCAAAGTGCTGGTACAGGTGTGAGCCACTGCGCCCAGCCTTTTTCGTTTTTTTATTGTAATTTTTATCTGATTTTTAGAGAGTCTAATTTTGTTGCCCAGGCTGGAGTGCAGTGGTGCAATCTCTGCTTACTATGACCTCCCCCTCCCAGGTTCAAGCAATTCTCCTTCCTCAGCCTCCTGAGTAGCTGGGACTACAGGTGTATGCCACCACACCCGGCTAATTTATTTGTATTTTTAGTAGAGACGGAGTTTCACCATGTTAGCCAGGATGGTCTCGAGCTCCTGAGCTCAGGGGACCCACTTGCCTTGGCCTCCCAAAGGGCTGGGATTGCAGGCAGGAGCCACTGCGCCAGGCCCGTCATCATTTCTGAATGAGGGCACCTGCATTTCATGGTTCACCAGGTGCTGCAAATTATACAGTGGGAAAGAGAGAGGCGCTGAAGAAGTGCCAAAGATGAAGGCATAAAGCAGAGACCAATAAATATTAACAGATTTCAGACATGCACAGAGAGAAACTGAGAAGCAGAGACAGGATTGGAGGAGAGATATGGGTGACAGCGAATCCCAGAGAGAGGATCCCAGAGTCACCGAAAGGCAGCACTCACTCAGAGTCTGAAGCAGACGCAAAGATAAGGGGAAAAAGAGAAACCAAGAGAGGCAGCTCTGGCGGGGCAGACAGAGGCCCCAGAAACCAGGAGCGGCAGAGGGCAGAGGGAGAGACAGGGTCCGAGGCATGGGAGAAGGGCACGGCCTGGGCTGTGCGGGTCCCAGCGGGCCGTGGGGCCTCACCTGTGTGCCCGTCTGGCCTGCATGGGCCAGGGCAGTTCCCGGGAAGGGTGAGGGTCCTGCAGCTCTGTCTGGGTGGCTTCTGCAAAGGCCTGCCTGCCACTTCCTCCATCCTCCTCCTCCTCCTCTGGCGTCCCCCAAGGCACCACCCCAGGGCCTCGGTACCGAAGGGTCGCAGCACTGGGCAGTTCATTCAGCACAGAAGACAGAGACCGGCCTGGGGAGGAGAAGCTGGCTGGGAAGACTCCAGAATCTGGGCCCAAACTCCTCCCTCAGACCAGAAAACCAGGCCCCCAGCCCCTCCCCGCTCAGACCCAGGAGTCCAGGACCCCAGCCCCTCCTCCCTCAGACCCAGGAGTCCAGGCCCCCAGCCCCTCCTCCCTCAGGCCAGGAGTCCAGACCCCGGGTCCTCCTCCCTCAGACCCAGGAATCTAGGACCCCAGCCCCTCCTCCCTGAGACTCAGGAGTTCAGGCACAGCCCCTCCTCCCTCAGACCCAGGAGTCCAGGCCCCCAGCCCCTCCTCCCTCAGACCCAGGAGTCCAGTCCCAGCTCCTCCTCCCTCAGACCCAGGAGTCCAAGTGCCAGCCTCTACTTCACCTGGACCCAGGGGTCCACAGCCCTCGATCCCATCCCCAGGACTCAAGTGTGGACCCCTCCTACTCCAGGACAGAGGAGTCCAGCCTTCAACTTCCTTTTCCCTCTAGTTCAGGAGTCTGGGGACCCAGCCCCTCCTATACCCAAGACACCCAAACCCCCAGCCCCTCATCTTCCCCTCCTCCCAGACTAGCCTGGTTCTCCAGGCTCCTCCTCCTCAGACCCTGGAGTTCCAGCCTCCACTTCCCTTCTCCCCTGTAAAACCAGGAAGTGAAACCTCTTCAGCCCTCAGGCTCAGGAGTCCCACCTAGCCTGAAGGCTGGTGGAGCTGCACCTCCCCTGGCCTCCCGGGGGGCCAGCCATCCGCTAGAGGAGCCCCAGGCTGCTGAATCCAGGGTCGGGTTTTCTTCCATGGCCTCAGGCTGGGCTCTCTAGTGGCAGACACTGCCCCAGGTAAGGGCGGGGTCGGGGCAGGTGTGTACCTGGCCGGCAGGTGGCCCGGAGGGAGTTAGGTACACTTCCTGTAGTTTCACAGGACTGGGGATTCGAAAGGCCTCCTGGGACCTGAAGTCCTGTGGTGCCCGGGCCTGACAGTTTGGCTCCTGGGCCAGGCTGGCAGCTGTACCTCACCTGGGACTCGCGGCGTTTGTCACCCACAGATACTTGCACAGACACGATGCGTTTGTGCAACACTTTATTGGGAAAGATTTACACACTGTGACCTGTCACAGGCCAAGGGATGAGAAGAGGGAGCCAGGAGCGTTGGGGCCCCAAGGTGGCTCAGACGTAAGCCGTGGGGTGGCAGTCCCCTGGCCTGCGCATCCGTGCCTCAGTTTCCCCTTTGTGAAATGGGAAGCTTATGCTTCCAAGTTTGCGATATGGGCATGATGAGCTAAAGGCGGAGCGAAGGACACAAGGAAGAGGCTGCCCACTCCCAGGACCTCCCCCAGGCTCCAACCCCACACTGTGGACACAGAAAGGGAATTTGCCCAAACCTGCCGCCCATAGGCCCCTTCTGTTCTTGGGAAGTGCAGTGCTCTCTGGAGACCCCGAAGCTGGAGCAGGGGCAAGGGAGACTCTCATCAGGACGAGTCTTGGATTTCGTAGAAGGGGAGTGGCCACTAGAGGCCCCTGGGCAGAGGGCAAGTCTGCTTCAGTGGCAGGCAGGGTATTCGCTGGGGAAGAGGAAATTCTCTCCGGGACCCTTGCCAAGGTAAGGACTCCTTCTGGGGAGGAGACAGCAGCCTGGTTCACAGAGTCCCCAGGCCCCGCTGGCAGAGGGAGCGTCTCGGCAGCTTACTCCTCCCGGAGCTTCTCCGGGGCGAGGCTGGCGGGCTGGGAGGCTGCCTTCCGCCGGCCAGGGCTGCCCCCACCCAAGCGCCAGCCCCAGCCCCAGGGCAGCCAGGGCCAGGAAGTGGATGCAGAAGTAGATGGAGGCCCAGTACCGAAGCGTGTCTGTCATGGAGAGCAGCACGAAGCCCATGCACATGTAGTCGTAGGCGCGCATCTTCAGGAACCAGTGCACCCAGTCCCAGGCCTTCTGCCCCGCTGGGCTCAGCTGCCCCCGAAGGGCTGACTCCAGCCGGCCCTCTGCAGCCAGGCACAGCGGGATGGTCAGGAAGCTCAGGTAGTAGCCCGGGTGGAGGCCGTGCCAGTAGGCGCTCAGCAGCATGGTCCATGCGCTCCTGAGGAGGGGCTGGGAGTCAGGACCTGCCAGTCCAGTGCCCAGTGCCCTCTGCCCCCTGGTCACAAGAGTCCAGAACCCCCAGCCCCTCCTCCCTCAGACCCAGGAGTCCAGAACCCCCAGCCCCTCCTCCCTCAAACCCAGGAGTCCAGACCCCGGCCCCTCCTCCCTCAGACCCAGGAGTCCAGACCCCGGGTCCTCCTCCCTCAGACCCAGGAGTCCAGACCCCGGCCCCTCCTCCCTCAGACCCGGGAGTCCAGACCCCGGCCCCTCCTCCCTCAGACCCGGGAGTCCAGGCCCCCGGCCCCTCCTCCCTCAGACCCGGGAGTCCAGGCCCCGGCCCCTCCTCCCTCAGACCCGGGAGTCCAGGCCCCGGCCCCTCCTCCCTCAGACCCGGGAGTCCAGACCCCGGCCCCTCCTCCCTCAGACCCGGGAGTCCAGACCCCGGCCCCTCCTCCCTCAGACCCGGGAGTCCAGACCCCGGCCCCTCCTCCCTCAGACCCGGGAGTCCAGGCCCCCGGCCCCTCCTCCCTCAGACCCGGGAGTCCAGGCCCCGGCCCCTCCTCCCTCAGACCCGGGAGTCCAGGCCCCGGCCCCTCCTCCCTCAGACCCGGGAGTCCAGACCCCGGCCCCTCCTCCCTCAGACCCAGGAGTCCAGACCCCGGGTCCTCCTCCCTCAGACCCAGAAGTCCAGGCCCCAGCCCTGCTCCCTCAGACCCAGAAGTCCAGGCTCCAGGCCCTCCCTGCTCAAACCCATGCCCCCTTTTCCCTAGCTCCAGAGGGCGGAGGAGGCTATAGGCTGCTGTCTCCTTCAGGGATCCTTCCACACACATCCCACAGTCGTATCCCAGGCCATCTCCTCCTTTAAAGATTGACCATTTTATGTTCCACTGCCCTTCCTCTCCCAGGACCAAGAAGTCTAATTGTTGGGCCCATGGGTTCTTCTTTTTTTCTGAGTCTTGCCCTGTGGCTCAGGCTGGAACGCAGTGGCGCAATCTCGGCTCACTGCAACCTGCCTCCCAGGTTCAAGGGATTGTCCTGCTTCAGCCTCCCGAGTAGCTGGGATTACAGGCATGTACTACCACTCCTGGCTAATTTTTATATTTTTAGTAGAGGTGGGGGTTTCAACATGTTGCCCAGGCTGGTCTCAAACTCTTTTTTCTTTTTTTTTTTTTGAGACGGAGTTTCGCTCCTGTTACCCAGGCTGGAGTGCAATGGTGCGATCTCGGCTCACTGCAACCTCCGCCTCCTGGGTTCAGGAAATTCTCCTGCCTCAGCCTCCTGAGTAGCTGGAATTACAGGCACGCGCCACCATGCCCAGCTAATGTTTTGTATTTTTAGTAGAGACGGGGTTTCACCTTGTTGACCAGGATGGTCTCGATCTCTTGACCTCGTGATCCACCCGCCTTGGCCTCCCAAAGTGCTGGGATTACAGGCTTGAGCCACCGCGCCCGGCTGATCTCAAACTCTTGACCTCAGATGATCCGCCCACCTCGGTCTCCCAAAGTGCTGGGATTATAGGCATGAGCCACTGAACTGGGCCCCAGTGATTCTTAAGGTCTGGCATCAGCATTGGCTGAGAACTTGTGAGACACACAAATCCTTGTCCCCACCCCTCCTGCACTAGAAACCCTGGGGCTGGGACCCAGAAGAATTCCCGGTAACAAGTATTCCAGGTGACTTCGATGCCTGCTAACATTTGAGACTGCTGCCTGGCCCATGAAGACCCTGGTCTGTGGGCCTTCCTTATTCTGCGCCCAGTAGATATGTTCCTCTTCTTCCAAGGCCCAGACCCATCTTTCCTCACTTTTTTTTTTTTTTTTTTTTTTGAGACGGAGTTTCACTTTTGTTACCCAGGCTGGAGTGCAATGGCGCGATCTCGGCTCACCACAACCTCCGTCTCCTGGGTTCAAGCAATTCTCCTGCCTCAGCCTCCCGAGTAGCTGGGATTACAGGCACGCGCCACCATGCCCAGCTAATTTTTTGTATTTTTAGTAGAGACGGGGTTTCACCATGTTGACCAGGATGGTCTCGATCTCTCGACCTTGTGATCCACCCGCCTCGGCCTCCCAAAGTGCTGGGATTACAGGCGTGAGCCACCGCGCCCGGCCGTCTTTTTTTTTTTTTTTAATAAATCTTTTTTTCTTTGCAGAGATGTCATCTTGCTGTTTTCCAGGCTGGTCTTGAACTCCTGAGCTTAAGTGATCCTCTCACCTTGGCCTCCCAAAGTACTGGAATTACAGATGTCAGCCACTGCACCTGGCCAACTCCTGGTATCTTGGGAAGGGAGGACCATTGGCTTTCTGGTTCTTCAGAACCAGGTTATAGTGCCTTGCACCCTGTATGTAATCTCAGCACTTTGAGAGGCTGAGGTGGGAGGGTTGCTTGAGGCCAGGAGCTCAAGACCAGCCTGGGCAACACAGTGAGACTTCACCTGTATTTAAGAAAAGAAAAACAAGGCCGGGCACCATGGCTCATGCCTGTAATCCCAGCACTTTGGAAGGCCAAGGCAGGTGGATCACGAGGTCAGGAGTTTGAGACCAGTCTGGCCAACACAGTGAAACTCTATCTCTACTGAAAATACAAAAAAGTAGCTGGGCGTGTTGGTGTGCACCTGTGATCCCAGCTACTTGGGAGGCTGAAAGGCTGACGCAGGAGAATCCCTTGAACCCAGAAGGCGGAGATTGTAGTGAGACATGATCACACCACTGCGCTCCAGCCTGGGTGACAGTGCCACACTGTTTCAAAAAAAAAAAAAATTAAAAAATTAAAAATTAAAAAAGAGTGGGCCGGGCGCGGTGGCTCAAGCCTGTAATCCCAGCACTTTGGGAGGCCGAGGCGGGTGGATCACAAGGTCGAGAGATCGAGACCATCCTGGTCAACATGGTGAAACCCCGTCTCTACTAAAAATACAAAAAATTAGCTGGGCATGGTGGCGCGTGCCTGTAATCCCAGCTACTCAGGAGGCTGAGGCAGGAGAATTGCCTGAACCCAGGAGGCGGAGGTTGTGGTGAGCCGAGATCGCGCCATTGCACTCCAGCCTGGGTAACAAGAGCGAAACTCCCGTCTCAAAAAAAAAAAAAAAAAAAAAAAAAAAAAAAAAAAATTAAAAAAGAAGAGAAACCAGGACTCCTCAGCCTCCCATTCTTCTATAGAACCTTCAGGAACTCAGGATTTCGGAAGCCTGTCCCCCTTCCTCCCTCAGGGCCCAGGAGTCTCTCTCTACTCTTCTTTTCAGGGGCCCAGTTCTGAGTCCAAGCCTCTTCTTCCCTCAGGGATTCAAGAATCTAATTCCTGCCTCCTGAAGACTTGGGAATCTCCAGCTGTGGTCCCCTCCTCTTTTGGGACCAGACATGTGTTCCCCTCTCCTTCTATACCCATAAATTTAATCCCTTAGCCCTTGAAGACCTACAGATGCAGGTTCTGACCCCATCTTTATCAGCCACAGAGAAATCGCTGTCCATCTCACTCTCCATCTGTGTCTCTATCAGTGAGCTTTGCCACCCGCTACGGCCTGAGGGAGGTGTTTACTGCCACAGACACTGACTTGTCCCTCAGACACATCTGGGTGCTTGAAGCACAGAAATAACCCAGTGATAAGAAACTGTTGGCCCGTTGGCCGGGTGTGGTGGCTCACGCCTGTAATCCCAGCACTTTAGGAGGCCAAGGCGGGCGGATCACTTGAGGTCAGGAGTTCAAGACCAGCCCGGCCAACATGGTAAAGCCCCGACTCTACCAAAAACAAAAAGTTAGCTGGGCATGGTGGTAGGCGCCTGTAATCCCAGCTACTCAGGAGGCTGAGGTGGGAGAATTGCTTGAACGCAGGAGGCGGGGGTTGCAGTAAGCTGAGATCGCACCACTGCACTCCAGCCTGGGTGACAGAGCAAGAAAAAAACAAAAAAAAGAAAACCAAAAAACGCCCACTGCCCCATCCCCCAGAGTGTAAGATAAACAAGGATGAGTCCTGTGCATGTAAGGTATTTAGGAGCATCCTGGGCTCCACCCACTCCATGCCCCTAGCCCCTCCCAGTTACAACAAAATGTCTTCAGGGATTGCCACGTGTCTCCTGGGGGTGCAGCAGCAGCAGCAGCAGCAGCAGAATTCCCGCCAGTTGAGAAGCACTTGTCTAAACATTGAGGTGCTCTGGGCTTTGATGTGGCCTCAGCCCCAGAGCTTTTAAGTATCATTTATACCTGGCCGGGCACAGTGGCTCACGCTTGCAGTCCTGGCGCTTTGGGAGGCTGAGATGGGAGGACTGCTTGGGGCCAGGACTTTGAGACCAGCCTAGTCAACACAGCGAGACCCCATTTATATATCTTTTAAAAACAAACAAACAAACAAACAAACAAACAAAAAGTTAATTAAAAAACTTTGGCCAGGCTTGGTGGCTCATGCCTGTAATTCCAGCACTTTGAGAGGCTGAGGTAGGTGGATCACTTGAGGCCCAGAGTGTGAGACTAACCTGGCCAACACGGTGAAACCCCACATCTACTAAAGATAAAAAAAAACTAGCTGGGCGTGGTGTTGCACACCTGTAATCCTAGCTACTTGGCAGGAGAATCACTTGAACCCAGGATATGGAGGCTGCAGTGAGCTGACATTCACGCCACTGCACTCCACCCTGGGTGACAAAGTGTCCAAAAATAATAAATACAAATAAATTTTAAAAAGCATCATTTACACCTGATACCACTCAAGTGTCCACTTTTAAGAGTGACTTTTCGTAGCCAGGCACAGTGGTTCAAGCCTGTAATCCCAACTTTGGGAGGCCGAGGTGGGCAGATCATGAGGTCAGGAGATCAAGACCATCCTGGCCAAGCTGGTGAAACCCCAACTCTACTAAAATACAAAAAAATTAGCTAGGCATGGTAGCGTGTGCCTTTAATTCCAGCTACTTGGGAGGCTGAAGCAGGAGACTCGCTTGAACCCGGGAGGTGGAAGTTGCAGTGCGCCGAGACCACGCCACTGCACTCCAGCTTAGTGAAAGAGCAAGCCTCCGTCTCAAAAAAAAAAAAAAAGAGTGACTTTTCCTATGAGCATCAGAATCACATAATTACCTACCCAGTAACCCCGGCTGGAAATCTAACAGTCATCTCAAAGTAAATGAGACTCAACTCAAGTCGTTTCCTCATGCTACCTACTCCCAAAACTTCCTCCTGCCGGGTCTTCCCCTTCCACCTTTATTTTATTTTTTGGGGATGAAGTCTCACTCAGTCGCCCAGGTGACCTCAGCTCACTGCAAGCTCCACCTCCCGGGTTCACGTGATTCTCTTGCTTCAGCCTCCTGTATAGCTGGGACAACAGGCACCTGTCACTACACCGAGCTAACTTTTTGTATTTTTTGTAGCGAATGGGTTTCACCATATTGCCCTGACCAAGTGACTGACCTGCCTGGGCCAACCAAACTGCTGGGATTACAGGCGTGAACCACCTACTTTTTTTTTTTTTTTTTTTTTTGAGACGGAGTTTTGCTCTTGTTACCCAGGCTGGAGTGCAATGGCCCGATCTCGGCTCACCGCAACCTCCGCCTCCTGGGTTCAGGCAATTCTCCTGCCTCAGCCTCCTGAGTAGCTGGGATTACAGGCACGTGCACCACCATGCCCAGCTAATGTTTTGTATTTTTAGTAGAGACGGGGTTTCACCTTGTTGACCAGGATGGTCTCGATCTCTCGACCTCGTGATCCACCCGCCTCGGCCTCCCAAAGTGCTGGGATTACAAGCTTGAGCCACTGCGCCCGGCCTTTTTTTTTTTTTTTTGAGAGAGAGTCTCGCTGTCGCCAGGACTGGAGTGCAGTGGCACAATCTCGGTTCACTGCAACCTCTGCCTCCCGGATTCAAGCCATTTTCCTGCCTCAGCCTCCCGAGTAGCTTAGACTACACGCACACGCCACCATGCCCAGCTAAGTTTTGTATTTTTGGTAGAGACAGGGTTTCACCATGTTGGCCAAGATGGTCTCCATCTCTTGACCTCGTGATCTGCCTGCCTCGGCCTCCCAAAGTGCTGGGATTCCAGGCGTGAGCCAAAGCGCCGCCATGAGTTTCTACTTCTGAGGCTGCACCAAAAACAACGTCTAGCAGAGTCTCCACTCAAGAAATATCGGAAGAATGAAACACAATAAAAACTAATAGATAGGCACTTACCTGTCAGGCCTCACATTAAATACATTTCACATTCTATCGCATTTAATCCTTTTATCTACCTATGAAACCAGTAATAAAAAGCATGAACTCCGTTTAATACTCGAGGCAACCAAGAGGTCAACTAACTCCTCAAGGTTTCTCCATAACCTGGACGGCTGAAATTCCAGGAGGGCTAGTTATTGAGTCCACAAGCCTCAGTACGTTGCTTCTGTAGAGTAAGGCTGACTTTACAGAAGTAGAAACTGAGGCCCCAGGACGGGGAACTATTTACCCCAGGGTGCTGCCACTAATTAGAGGCAGGGCAAAACCAGACTAAGCAAACTACAACCCCCGTGAGCCTCCGGGGCAGGGGCCCAGCCAGGGAAGCTGTAGGCTGCCCTGGGGCCTGCTGGGAGATGCAGTTCTGTACCGTCCCCGAGGCTGGGCGGGCTCACTCACCGCAGCACATAGGAGCGGGCAGGCGCGCTCTTGTAGATGTACTGCGCCAGCCACCACTGCACCGTCATGTTCCAGTACCGCATGCCATCGCGCACCCGCACGCAGAAGTCCGTGCCGTAGCAGTCGATGTTACGGATGGTCTCATAGTCATACTCCAGGGAAGCCGCCTTCTCCGGACTGGGGGTGGAGGATGAGGGTGGGGGACAGACATGCAGCTCAGCCAGGCCCCCTCCCGACGCCTGCCAGTGTCCCAGCCCCGGATGCTAAGGAAGGGATCCTGGCCAGGTAACGGCCCTCTGGCTGTCAGATTTGCTAGGGCGACAAGGGAGGGTGGCCCAGGGGGTGCCTGTCGCGGGGAGAACGGGCGGGCCAGGTGGTACAGTTCACCGACAATGGGGTTCTTCTTGTTTTGGTAACTAACAGGGCCTGCCACAGCCATGAAAAGCCTTGAAGAGCTATGAGTGCTAAGCTATGAGTCCTTTAGCAACCAAGCTCAGTATATTCAGAGAAGCCTCCAAGGACGGTCCCTTCTAAACTGTTGGACACTGCTGTTACTAGGGAAGTATCTTCCCTAATAACAGGGTGCTTCACAGTTGCTAGGGAGATGTTCCAGTCGCCAGTGGGGTCTCAATGATCTCTGTTGCTAAGGAAAAGGCATTCCTTAGCAACAAGGCCTAGGATGTTTAGAAAGGCTTTTAGAAAAGGGCTTTTTTCCTGGTCCCAGTGATGTTGAAGTGTCACCGCTAGCAATACAGTGGCTCTCTAGTCACTCGTGCCAACAGCCCCAGCAGTGGGAAACGCTGGCCCACATGAAGACCTGGTGGCCTCTGATGACAGGAGGGGAGCCACCTTGAGGAGTGCGGGCCAAGAGGGTTTAGCAAAGCCTTCAATTCCTGCTTGGCTGTTCTGGGGGCGACATCCTCCAGAGCAGCTGGGGGTCAGGGCATGGTGATGGGGGCGGTGGTCATAAACTCATGTGGGGGTGTTACTACCCTCACAACCGATGGCAGTTTTCGACTAGGAATGGCACAACCCTAGCAGGGAATAGTTCATCATTTACACCAACAGGCTGCTGCCCCCGCCACAGTCCAAGCCCCTGGAGGAAGGCTCACTGCAGCTGCCGGGAACACCAGGGCAGTCTGCTCCTGGTTGCCCGGGGTGCCATTTCCCTAGCAACACAGGGGCAATCCTTCCTCAGCCACAAGAGAGCCCACAGCTATGGCCGTGCAACTTGCCTAGCGATGCCAGTGCTGGGGGATGCAGCCTCTCTGAAGACAAGGGTCAACCCATAGTCACCAGGGGGAGGCCTGACTTCCTTAGCAACAGTGTAACTGGAGTTGCTAGGAATGGCGTCAGCTCTGCTGGGTAACAGCAGTTGGGAATTTGAAACTGTTATTTCCTTTCAAACAGAGCACAGCTAGGTGACCACATCCCATGGGAGGGAGGAGGGCTAGCTCCCAGAAACAGAGGGGCAGTGCAGGGGGCGCCGTATCTGCAGCAACACAGCAAAACTTCTGGCAAGAAGGAGGTGAACTACTGTTGCTAGGGATCTTGTTTCCCTAGCAAAGAGTGGCGTTCGGTTGCTAGGTAACCATTTCCCTAGCAATAGAGGGTGACCCACCACTACCAAACGATGGCATCCCCAGCAAGCAGGAACAATCTGGTTCTGGGGGTGACACTTCCGTGGCAACAGAGGGGTGGCAGAGGGATGCTAAGTTACCACCTTTTCCTAGCAACGGGGGGGACGGGGCAGTTCACCATACTGCGGGGTGACAAGCGCTAGCAACAAGGGGCATCTGTCAGTACCAGGGTTTTTTTCCCTATCGACAGCTAACAAAAGGTGGTAACCCTGTCCCCTTACTCCCCGCTCTCCTCCCTGCTAGGGGCAGAGCCAGCCCTTGGAGGTGGGGGCTGCTGGGTCTTGGGAAGCCTCCCTCCCGCCGCCTGACCTGCTGGGGGGTGGGCATTGGAGGGTGGGGCCGCCCCCGGCCCGGGCTTTGGCGGCCACGGGGTAGGCCCCGAAGCCGGCGGCAATGCAGCCGCACTCGGCGGCAATCCAGGCCACGTAGAAGCGCATGCGGAAGGCGAAGAAGACGGGGATCATGTAGAACAGGCGGGCGGGCAGCGGGCGGGCGTAGAAGGCGTCCTCGCGCACGGCCTCCAGCGGGAAGAGGTGGGAGGAGAGCAGGAACAGCAGGCCGAAGAGCGGGGCCGGCCAGGCGCGGCGCAGCAGGGGCCGCAGGCTGGGCACGGCCCCCGGGAAGGGCTGCTCCAGCCAGTCCAGGTAGGTGCGGTAGCGGAAGAACGGGCCTGTGGGTCAGGGAGGGAGGGCAGCGGTCAGATGGGCAAGTGGGCAGAGCTCGAGTCTGCAGGAGGAGGAGGAGGAGGAGCAGGAGCCTGGAGGGCAGGTGGGAAGAGGAAAAGAGAGGCAGAGACTGGGCACCGGGGAAAGCCCAGGGGTAGGGACAGAGACCCACAGAGATGGGGACAAGGAACGAGAGATGGGGGGACAACAGGACTCAGAGGGACAGTGACAGGAAATTAGCTAGAGGGGGCCGGGCGCGGTGGCTCACGCCTGGAATCCCGGCACTTCGGGAGACCTAGGCGGGAGGACTGCTTGAACCCAAGAGTTCGAGACCAGCCTGGGCAAAATGGCAAAACCCTGTCACTACAAAACATGAAAATTGGACAGGTGTGGTGGAGGCACCTGTAATCCCAGCTACTGGGGAGGCTGGGGCGGGAGGATTGCTTGAGCCCAGGCTACCGTGAGCAGTGACTGTGCTACGGAGTTCCAGCCAGTGACAAAAGGAAGGCTGGAAGGAGGACAAGAAGGAAGAAGAGAGGGATGGAGGGAGGGAGGGAGGGAGGGAGGAAGGCAGGAAGGAAACTAGAAGGTAGCTGTGGCACTTCAGCTGTAACGTGATGGGGGTCTGGCCTCGGGAGGAAGGAGCGTGATTCACAGAAGGGACCAGAGTCAAAATTTTCGTATGTTCACAAAAGAACACATTTAGGTCAATACTAGTGTGGGAAGTTAAAAAAAAAAAAAAAAAAAAAGAAATGAAATGAAAATAAATAAGACCACAGGTGGTAGGACTCCATTTATGAGCACAATGTCCAGAATAGGCAAATCTTTACAGACAGAAAGTCAATTAGTGCTTTCCAGAGATGGATGGAGGTTTGGGGGATGATGGATATGGGGTTTCTTTGCAGGGTGTGACATTGTTGTGAAAATAACTACACAGTGGTCATGTTTGTCCAACTCCGTGGATATACTAAATTAAGTCAGGGAGTTGTATTTTTTTTTTTTTTTTTTTACAGAATCAAAGCAGCCAAGAGTTGTGCTTTTGTTCGTTGTTTGTTTTGTTTTTTTGAGATGGAGTTTTGCTCTTGCTGCCCAGGCTGAAGTGCAATGGTGTCACCTCAGCTCACCGAAGCCTCCGCCACCCAGGTTCAAGAGATTCTCCTGCCTCAGCCTCCCGAGTAGCTGGGATTACAGGCATGCGCCACCACTCCTGGCTAAGTTTTGTATTTTCAGCAGAGACAGGGTTTCTCCATGTTGGCCAGCCTGGTCTCAAACTCCTAACCTGAGGTGATCCACCTGCCTCAGCCTCCCAAAGTGCTGGGATTACAGGCATGAGCCACTACACCCAGCCCTTTTAATTTTATATTTATTTATTTATTTATTTAAAAGGGATGGGATCTTGCTTTTTTGGCCAGATTGACTTTGAACTCTTGGCCTCAGGCAGTCCTCTCGCCTCAGCCTCCCAAAGTGCTAGGATTATGAGCATGAGCCCCCATGCCCAGCAGAAAAATATTCCCTTAAACTGCAAGTAGACCCTAAGCTGTGAATATTTGTTGTCTGGGCGACAAAAACATCAGGTTTACATAGACCTTTGCCTCCTTTATCTCTTCTCTTTGCTGCCAATAAGCTGTAAGGAGAAGAGCAAGGGATCACTTAGGCTGAGCACAGCCAGCCTCCGCCCCAAAGCTCTTCTGGTCCAGCGGAGGTGTGAGACGGATCCAGATACATGCCCACTCTCACCGCAGTGGACGCTAAGATGGAGGTGGCCCCAGGCAGGGTGGGAACACAGAACAGGCACCCAGGGTGGAGGGAGACACGGGAGACAGAGCGTCGGAGCGGCAGAGCCGTTACAGCAGGCCGACTCACCGGTCATGATTCCCACGTAGCAGTAGCTGTAGCTGAGCGTCTCCATCAAGGAGGGCACGTCGGGCAGCAGCCCCAGGGTGGGCCCCTTGCTGAAGCCCGTGGCCATTTCCTTCCTCTGGGCCAGATGCAGGTCCTGGACTTCACTGGCCAGGCTCACCAGCTGGGTGGGAGGGGGTGGGCAAGGCACCAGGTCAGACTCTGGGCCCTTCCCTACACCCATCTCCCTCGCTGCCCTCTGCAGCCACGGGGTGCTGGGCACTCCTAGGTTGTGTGTAAGGCCTCTAGCGAGGAGTGTTCCCCAGAGCTCAGTCCCAGGCACTCATTCCCTTTCCCTGTCCCATCCTTACCTGCTCTCACGCAATCACAGAGCTTTAGATAGATACTACCCACCCAGCCCCAGACCTATCCAGGTCATAGCTTATTGGCATTGATACTTGGATGTCTCTAGGCACCTCAAACGCCCTGGAAACAGAAGACGATGTTACTCACCCACCAGGCAGATCCTCTTCTAGTCTCTCCCCTCAAACAATAGGCCACCAAAAACCTCCCTCGCTCCCCAAATCCTATCCCTTAACCTCTTTCTTTTTGAGACAAGTTTGACTCTGTCGCCCAGGCTGGAGTACGGTCTTGGCTCACTGCCACCTCTGCCTGCCAGGGGTTCAAGCAATTCTCATGCCTCAGCTGGCCAGGCTGGTCTCAAACTCCTGGCTTCAAGTGATCTGCCCGCCTTGAAATCCCTTAAGTTTTGAGTCCTGCCTCTTTCCGTCTGCACTAATGAGCTGAATACCCTGTATTCTCCACCCTTTCCTGCCAGTCCCAAGGTCGACCCTACATCAACAGGGCTCTGTCTTCCAGCTTCTGGCTGGGTCGTCAACAGAAAGCCCTGGCTGGAGATGTGTGATGACAGGAGAGAGGGAGAAGGCAGTAGAAGGTGGGGCTTCCACTCTCCAGTGAGATGGCCTTGGGCTGGCCATCACCCTTGACAGATCACTTCAAGGTGGGTGGCTCTACGCACTCGTAAAAAAAAAATAATTTTAGGGCCAGGTGTGGCGGCTCATGCTTGTAATCCCAGCACTTTGGGAGGCCAAGGCAGATGGATCACTTGATGTCAGGGGTTTGAGACCAGCCTGGGCAACATGGTGAAACCTCATCTCTACTAAAAATATAAAAATTAGCCGGGCATGGTGGTAGGCACCTGTAATTTCAACTACTTGGGAGGCTGAGGCAGGAGAACTGCTGGAAGAGGTAGGGGTTGCACCACTGCACTCCAGCCTGGGTGACAGAGCAAGACTCCATCTCAGAAAAAAATATAATAATAATATCTTTTTTGTAGAGACAGGGTCTCGCTATATTGCCCAGGCTGGTCAAAAACTCCTGGCCTCCAGCAATCCTCTCACCACCACCTCCCAAAGCACTGGGATTAGATTATGAGGCGCTGCACCAGCCTACACAACCCTTTTTCCATCCAGGTACCCCAACCTGCCCGACTTCCCTGGGCCTACGGTTGGGAAGGGCTCCTGCTGCAGGTCTGGGGTTCAGGCACTGTCCCTTCTTGCTCCTCTACATCCTGCCCGCACCGTGGCCACTCCTCCGACCATGCTAAACGCGGGGTTTCCTGCTGCAACTCTTGACTGACCTACCCACAGCCGACAGCCTGCACCAAGCCCCCCACAGTTTGTCACCTGGACTCAGATAGAGGGACCCTCCTTTATCCGACTCCATCCCATCTTGCCCTGATCCACTTCAATTCTCCTCCAGCACCCAGAATAGTGTTTTTCTTTCTTTCTTTTTTTTTGTTTTTTGAGATGGCATCTCACCTGGGGAAGCCCAGGCTGGAGTGCAGTGGGACAATCTTGGCTCACTGCAACCTCTGCCTCCTGGGTTCAAGCAATTCTCCTGCCTCAGCCTTCCCAGTAGCTGGGATTACACGTGTGCGCCACCATACCTGGCTCATTTTTATACTTTTAGTAGAGACGAGGTTTCACCATGTTGGTCAGGCTGGTCTCAAACTCTTTTTTTTTTTTTTTTTTGAGACGGAGTTTCGCTTTTGTTACCCAGGCTGGAGTGCAATGGCGCGATCTTGGCTCACTGCAACCTCCGCCTCCTGGGTTCAGGCAATTCTCCTGCCTCAGCCTCCTGAGTAGCTGGGATTACAGGCACGCGCCACCATGCCCAGCTAATTTTTTTATATTTTTAGTAGAGACGGGGTTTCACCATGTTGACCACGATAGTCTCGATCTCTTGACCTCGTGATCCACCCGCCTCGGCCTCCCAAAGTGCTGGGATTACAGGCTTGAGCCACCGCGCCCGGCCGGTCTCAAACTCTTGACCTCAGGTGATCCACCCGACTCAGCTTCCCAAAGTGCTGGGATTACAGGTGTGAGCCACTGCACCCGGCCCAGAATGAGTATTTTTAAACATCTAAAACTGGTCACATCGCATCTTCTGGCAGCAAACCAAAAATCCCCTCTCCCAACAGCACTCAGTCCTCCAAGGGAAAGTGCAAAGTCCTCACAGTTGCTGGCCAGGCCTAGCGCGGTCTCAGCCCTGCTGCCAGTTCCCTTCTGCTCTTCCTAGAAAGCTGATGTGGCTGGTGCAGCCTGTGGAACCCAGCCTGCTCCCCTCCACGCGTGGTTCCTACGGCCTGAAATGCTCCTCCTCTAACCCCTCTCGCCCAGCCCACTCCTGCCACTGCTAAGCTCTTGCGGGGAACACTGAATGCTGGGGAGGCCACTGCCTACCTAGCATGACCGCTGTGTTCACTGATAAGCCGCCAGGAGGAAACCATGACTCTGTGGGTCTCGGTGGGCCCTGGGAGTCTGTATTCACCCGTTTTTCCCAGGTGATTAGGAGTCAGACCTGGGTGTCCGTCCTAGTTTTGCACCCTTCACCATGTACCTTCTCCCCAGAGGCTGGTTTTTCTCCTTTGCAACACGGCTGGCTGCAGAGATTCCAGGAGAGCATGTTGGTAAACCAACCAGCTGGGCCTCTGGCACACCGCAAGCACTCAATGGCACTGACTGTTACCCTCCATGGGCTATTTCTTCACCCCAGGAGGGGCTGAGAGGTGAAGACCGGCCCAGGGGCATGTGAATGGGGAACCCTACCCCAGGGCAGCAGGTGGGGTGATGTCCCACCCCCAGGGTGTGTGGGAGGTAAAATCCCGAAGAGCAGCTGGAGGGGAGTAGTGAACCCCGAGTCTGACCTTCAGCGTCAGCAGCAGCTGGACCGCATTGGTGAAGGGCGTGGGAGTAGGCAGGCCCAGCAGGCTGAGGGCTCGGAAGAACAGGAGATAGGAGAAAGTCCAGGCCAGAGCCAGGGCATGGCAGGAGCTGGGCAAAGGCAGGAGACTCGTTGTGTTGTGTTGGTCTCAGCCTTGGCCTCCCTCTCCCCGAGTCCAGCCACCAATCCTCCCCCAGCTCTCCCCATTCGTTCAGAGACAGAAACACAGAAGGGCAGAGAGAGGACTGGAGGGTAGATGTAGGGATGGAATGAGTATGACTGAAACGGGAGAAGAGGCTCAGCCACACAGAAACACACAGCGACAGAGAAGAATGAGGTTCAGAGGAGCTTCGGGTGAAGACCCTGCAATCCTTCACTTTTTCTTTATTTCCAAGGTCCAGAGCTCAAGAAGAGGGGGGTGGATATGAATATGAATGGTGGCGGGGCCAGCAGACACACCGTCCTTCTCTCCCCATGACATAGAGGTAGCAGACTGGGACAAACACAGAAGGCAGGGGAGAAAGAGAAACAGATGAAGGCCAGGTGCAGTGGCTCACGCCTGTAATCCCAGCACTTTGGGAGGTGAAGGCAGGCGGATCACCTGAGGTCAGGGGTTTGAGACCAGCCTGGCCAACATGGAGAAAAAAGTCTCTTTTTAAAAAATTTTTATTGTTTAAACTTTTTACTTGTAATTTACAACCATTTTCTTTTTCTTTTTATTTATTTCAGTCTCTACTAAAAATATATAATTAGCCAGGCGTGGTGGTGCATGCCTGTAATCCCAGCTACTCAGGAAGCTGAGGCTTAAACCCGGGGGAGGTGGAGGTTGCGGTGAGCTGAGATTGTACCACTGTACCCCAGCCTGGGCAACAAGAGTGAATCTCCATCTCAAAAAAGAAAAAAAAAAAAAAAAAAAAAAGGAAAGAAAAGAAAAAGAAACAGATGACACAAAGAAACAAACTGATCAACAAGACAGCCAGAGATGAGGCAGAAACTGAGAACGACACAAAGAGGAAACAGGTTGCTTCACCCTCTCCCCTCCTCTCCCCCTCCTCCCTCCTACACTCCCCCTCCTCTCCCCTACTCCCTCCCTCCGATTCTCACCAGGGCTGGGCCTGAATGAGGGCCCAGGTCCCGAGGATGGTGATCAGAGAATGCAAAGTGTGGGGGCCACAGGTGAAGAGGGTGAGCCCCAGGCCCACAGCGGCTGCCCCCCATCTCTTCAGCCCAGGACCTGCAGGAGGAAGGGACAGCATAAGCCTGGAACCTTCCAGAGGGTCCCCCCCTTATTTTCCACTGGGGAGGGAACCGGACTCACCAGCTTTCTTAAAGAGGAAGCCGATGGGGATGGAGATAAGAAGAACCACTAGATACGTCCATTCTTCAGGAGACATGGTCTGGGGGAGGGGCAGAGATTCACTGTGAGAACCCAGGCATCCAGGCCTCCTGCCTCCTCCCTCTTCGAGGATCCAGGAACCCAGCCCTCTGGACCCCAGTTTTTTAGGATTCCGGAGTCCAGGCCTCAACGCCTCTCCTTTGAGAACCTAGGAGCCCGGACTCCAGCTCCTTCCTCCGTGGAGGAGACAGTAATCCACCCCCAACCCCTCTCCTTTGAGGGCGCACAGGGCTCCAGCCCTCCTCTCCTTTGAGAACGCAGTCAAGCGTGGGGCTCTCCCAGCACCCAGGCCCCACCTTTTCAAACGCAGAATCAAAGCTACTCCCTGCACCCATGCTGGAGACCCAGATTTGAAGACGCCCCTCCTTAAAAAACCCAGAAGCAGCACCCCTCCCGGACCCTTCCTCTTCGAGAGCCCAGGAGTCTAGACCTCCGAGCCCCTTCTTCCAGCGAGGATCCAGGAGCCCAGACCCCTCTCTTTGCATCCCCCATCCCCCGGCCCCCAGCCCTTGTGAAACCAGATATTCGTACCCCCCAGCCGTTCTCCTTCGAGAGCACCCAGAGGAGCCCGGGGCTCCAGCCTCCAACCCCTTTGGAGCTCCAGACCCCTCTCCTATTGAGAATCCGGGGACCGGAGCCCCCTCCTTTCCCCAGGCCCAGGCCCAGCATGTCCCGCGCACCCCAGCGTGGGTCGGATCCCACTCCCGACAAAGCTACAGGCGGTTGCGCCAGCCCCGAGCTCCAGCGCGCACCCGGGGCCGCCCCGCACCCGCCAGTCCGCAGCTACCCCGCCACCGTGGGACCCCCGCCTTGCCACTGGGTGCCGCCACCCCGGCCCACCTGAGCCGCCCGCCGGGGAGGAGGCGGCCGAGCAGTCCCAGTCCACGAGCCGCCGCGGCTCCGGCCACGCCTCCCCCGCCCAGTGCGCCCCCGCGCCGCCTGCTCCTTCGGGGCGCCCGCCGAGCCCCGCGGATCCGACCGGGGATGAGGCCACGGTCAGGGCCCCGGGCGGCGGGGAAGGAGCCCGGGAGCGGGCTCCAGGAGCGCGAGCCGGCAGCGGCACTCGAGCCCGGGTCTGCAATGGGCTCCGAGCTCCGAGTACGTGAAGGGGCGGGGCTTCGGGCTCGGAACGAGGAGGAGCCAAAAGCTGTGGGCCCGAAGAGGAACAGACAGGATCCGGAAAGGAGGCGGGGTCTGGAGCGTAGCAGGAGACATGAGGGTCTCCGTTCGGGTTCCTTCGGGCACAGTCGGGAGTTTGAGTTCACTGGAGGTGGGGCCACAAACTTCCGCTCACTTCGGAGATAGTCGAGAACCGAGTGCTGGGGTCGGGGTGGGCGGGGCCACATGTTTCGGCTTTCTTCGGAGACAGTCGAGTCAGGGTCGCCGTTCTGATGTGGGCGGAACCACACTCGGCCGGAAGTGGGTGGGGCCACAAGTTTCGGTTTACTTCGTAGATAGCTGGGTTTCAGTGACGCTAGGATGATAGGCGGAGTCAACGGGTTCGCCAGATACGGAAGCATATTTACAAAGGGGAGGGACGAAAGCGACTTGCCCTCAAAGGGGCGGAACCCCGGCGAACGGCGTGCGCCTAGGGGGCGGGGTCGGGGTGATGATCAAGTTCCCAAGTCGAGTAGCGGCTGGGGGAGGTGCGCTCGATGTGGGGGGGCCAAGGGGGCCACCGCGGGAAGAAGGCGGGGCTCCAGGCCTGGGAGGGGAAGGTCCTGACTTCCCGCGGCGCCGAGGCGGCGGAATGACGAAGTTGACGCGGGGGGGTTGACACGGGGAGGGGAGGGTGGAGGAAGCAGAGCGTGGCGCGCGGTGCGTAGTGGGTGGCTCCGCCTTGACTTCGAGTTGGTGTATACGAGGTGACTCGGTGATTCTATCGGTGGACCGTGGGACATTCGGAAGAGAAGCAAGGAAGCGGACTGAGCGCTCCCAAGTGGGGTGAGCCCGCCCGAACGGAGAGTGGAAGGCGGGTGCCCAGGGGGCGGGGCTTTCGGCTGTGGGGTTCGGTCGTGGGGCCGGAACTCCCCAACTGGGGTGCGCTGGCGCTTGAAGCGGGCGGGGCCACAGCCTGCGGGACTGCGGGGAGCGGATGACGCCAGAACGCCGAAACTTGTGCTTTCGGGCGGGGGCGGGGCTACGTTGTCGGCCGCGCCGAGAATACCCGAACGCCAAATGGTGTTCTCACGTTCGAGAAGGGGGCGGGGCGGCGGATTCGGTGGAGTCGAGGACGCCCGAACGCCGAACCTCCCGCACTAGGGAGGGGGCAGGGTTTCGTCTTGTGGGAGCCTGAGAGCCAGTAGGCCCTAGGCCCGAAAGCCGAATCACAGTGGTTCGGACAGGGGAGGACCTAAGGCCGGAGCGTCCCAAAGAGGGTGTGGCCCCGGTGGTGCTTTAGCTTCGAGAGCTTTTGATCCCCGACGGGAACACCCGAAGGGGAACGCCCACTTTGCAAGAGGGTGGCGCCAAAATGGACCTTTATAAGGGGGCGATTCGCCGCGCTTGTGGAGGTTTCTTTTTGAGACTTGAAGGCGCAATGGCAGGTACGGCAGTGTGGGCACAGAGCGGCTGCCGACCGCAGGGTCACAAGGGCTGAGCGGGGCTCCGGGGACGCGGCGAGGGGCGAAGGCTACGGGCCAGGCTCCTGCGGCCGCGGAGACTGGTGGGATCGCCTGGGGGCGGGGCCCGGCATTTGGGCCAAGCAGGTGGTGAGCAGCGGCCGAGTGAGGCTCCGCCCTCTGGGGCCTGGGGGCGGGGCTTCCCCAGGCGCTGGGTGCTTTCCGGGCGGTCCGCAGCGTGCAGCTCTTTCGGTGACCGCTTTGCCTCCCGGCTCCCGCAGGAGGATGCTGGTGGTGGAGGTGGCGAACGGCCGCTCCCTGGTGTGGGGGGCCGAGGCGGTTCAGGCCCTCCGGGAGCGCCTGGGCGTGGGGGGCCGCACGGTAGGCGCCCTGCCTCGCGGGCCCCGCCAGAACTCACGCTTGGGCCTCCCGCTGCTGTTGATGCCGGAAGAGGCGCGGCTCCTGGCAGAGATCGGCGCCGTGACTCTGGTCAGCGCTCCGCGCCCAGACCCTCGGCACCACAGCCTGGTAAGGGGGCGGGGCTCGAACTCTTGGATCTGGTGGGAGCGGGGCCTGAGAGTCCGGATTACTGGCTTCCGAAGGGACCATAAGCTTGGAGGTTCCAGCGAAGTGTGCTTCTCAGGCCCTGACATCCTTCAAGCGCCAGCAAGAGCAGAGCTTCCAGGAGCAGAGCGCCTTGGCAGCTGAGGCCCGGGAGACCCGTCGGCAGGAGCTCCTAGAGAAGATTACGGAGGGCCAGGCTGCCAAGAAGCAGAAGCTGGAACAGGCTTCAGGGGCCAGCGCGAGCCAGGAGGCCGGCGGGAGCGAGGCTGCCAAAGTGAACGACACCAGTGATCTCCAGGCTTCGGGAGAGCAGGAGGAAGCCGGTGAGCGTGGGAGGTGGAGTCCAGGGACCATGGGAAGGAAAGGGGAGATCTTTTGGGAATTTTAGCTGGGAATCCAACCTGAGGGTGGGAAGACTTTGCCCCTTGCATTTACCAAACTCTTCTCTGTACTTCCACCAGGTCCCTCCTCTTCCCAAGCAGGACCCTCAAATGGAGTAGCCCCCTTGCCCAGATCGGCTCTCCTTGTCCAGCTGGCCACTGCCAGGCCTCGACCTGTCAAGGCCAGGCCCCTGGACTGGCGTGTCCAGTCCAAAGACTGGCCCCACGCTGGCCGCCCTGCGCATGAGCTGCGCTACAGCATCTACAGAGACCTATGGGAGCGGGGCTTCTTCCTCAGTGCGGCTGGGAAGTTCGGAGGTGACTTCCTGGTCTATCCGGGTGAGTTTGGGTTGGGGCCTCTGGTTGCTGTGCTAGTCTTCACAATCCCAATATATTCTGCGGTTTTCTTTTCTTAATAGAGATGGGGTCTCTATTGTTGCTCAGGATCGTCCCAATTCCTGGGCTCAAGCAGTCCTCGCACCTCAGCCTCCCAAAGTGCTGGGATTACAGGCCCAGCTGTATCTTTCTTTTTAGTCTCACTTTGTTAGCCTCTTACATTCACAGATGAACAGGAAATATTTGGGAGCTCCTGAACTCACTGGGCAAGCAGTTTAGCGACTCTTACTAAATGCTTAGTGTGATCCAGAAGATTAACTCAGAAGCATACATGAGGCTGGGTGCGATGGCTCACACCTGTAATCCCAGCACTTTGGGAAGCTGAGGCAGGTGGATTGTCTGAGGTCAGGAGTTTGAGGCCATCCTGGCCAACGTGGTGAAACCCCATCTCTACTAAAAATACTAAAACTAGCTGGGTGTGGTGACGGGCACCTGTAGTCCCAGCTACTTGGGAGGCTGAGGCAGGAGAATCGCTTGAACCCCGGAGGCGGAGGTTGCAGTGAGCCGAGATCACACAACTGCATTCCAGCATGGGTGACAGAGGGAGACTCTGTCTTAAAAAAAAAAAAAAAAAAAGATGTAAGAGCAATCCTGTTAGAAAAAAAGAAATTGCCAGGTGCAGTGGCTCACACGTGTAATCCCAGAACTTTGGGAGGCCAAGGTGGATGGATCACCTGAGGTCATCACCTGAGGTCAGGAGTTCGAAACCAGCATGACCAACATGGTGAAACCTTCTCTCTACTAAAAATACAAAAGTTAGCCAGGCGTGGTGGCACATGCCTATAATCCCGCCTACTTGGGAGGCTGAGGCAGGAAAATTGCTTGAACCCAGGAGGTCGAGGTTGCAGTGAGCCACTGCACTCCAGCCTGGGTGACAAAGCAAGACTCCCATCTCAAAAAAAAAAAAATTTTTCTAGAAGTGCAGTACTTGGTCCAAGCGTTACCTGTTTTAGAGAGCATCCATAGGGACTGCTGCAATGATCTCACATCTCCTACCAGGGATCATTCCCATGGCTTCTACCCCTGCCGTTGGCCACTGCTTCAGTGCCTCTGTCCCCACCAGGTGACCCCCTCCGCTTCCACGCCCACTACATCGCTCAGTGCTGGGCCCCTGAGGACCCCATCCCACTCCAGGACCTGGTTGCTGCTGGGCGCCTTGGAACCAGCGTCAGAAAGACCCTGCTCCTCTGTTCTCCGCAGCCTGATGGTAAGGTGGTCTACACCTCCCTGCAATGGGCCAGCCTGCAGTGAACTCCAGAGACCTAGGCGGATGTGGCTGTGCCTGCGGCAAGAGCCTTTCTAGATGTTCCCAAGCTTTTTCTGGGAGTCTAGAACATCCTCCCACCTTTCTGTGCAGTTAGTGTTTGATTCCAGGTTTTCATACACTACGTCCTTTCTGTGTTCTTCCTTGTCTCAAAGCACTTACTGGCTGTGCTGTTTTGCAGTTACCTGTTTTCACACTGTGAGCTTCCTGAGAATGGGAACTGGGTTCGATTCATCTCTGTTTTCCACAGGGTTTAAGTCTCAGGAGGTCTCAATAAACTTGTTACCTAAACGTCCACGAGTTGAATTCTTACAACAGTCCTGGAGCCCGCTGGTGGTCTTATCTGCAGATTCAGAAAAAGGCCGGAAGGGGGGGATGACTTGCCAGGGTCGCACAGCTAGTCAACAGCAGGCCTGGCCTTTAAACGTGGCTTTTGCTGACTCCTAAATCTGCACTCTTTCTACTGCACTAAACTTCCTTTTGAAAAGATTTCTATGAAACTTCTCAGATGCATGCATAAGTAAAAATATAGGCCGGGCATGATGGCTCACACCTGTAATCCCACAGCACTTTGGGAGGCCAAGGCAGGAGGGTCACTTGAGACCAGCTCTGGTTACGCTGTAATACCCCATCTCTACAAAAAAATAATTTTGAAAAATTAGCCAGGGATCCCTTAAGCCTGGGAAGTTGAGGCTGCCATGAGCTGTGATCGTACCACTTTACTCCAGCCTAGGAGACAGAGCAGGAGACCTTGTCTCAAAAAAAATGTGTGTGTGTGTGTGTGTGTGTGTGTGTGTGTGTGAATATATATACATACGTATGTGTATATATACATGTACATACATATCATAAAAAAAAGAAAATGAGAATATTGTAATTTTAGGGGTTCAGAGCATGGGGAGGATGTCAGGAAGAACTCTGGAAGGTGTTCTGCTTTTTCATGGCCTGGGTAGTGGTTGATAATTTTTTTTTTTTTTTTTTTTTAGAGATAGGGTGTCACCATATTTGCCAGGCTGGTCTCGAACTCCTGACCTCAGGTGATCCACCCATCTCGGCCTCCCAAAGTGCTGGGATTACAGGCGTGAGCCACTGCGCCCAGCCCGAGAATTTTTTTACTACTGTACATTTATATTTTAGACTCTTTTTTGTATGTGTTATATTCTGCAACTTTTACAAAAGTGAAAACATGTATAAAATATGCACTTATGAAA